CGGCACAGCGCCTCCAGCTCGGCCTCGGCCAGCACCGGGCAGCCGGGGAAGAGCAGCGCCCACAGGCCGCTCTGGCCGGACAGCGCCGCGGGCAGCGCGGGCAGGCAGGGCTCCAGCTGCGGGGCCAAGGCCGACAGCTGGCGGTGGACGCCCTGCAGGGCCTGCGGGGAGAAGAGGCCGGCCCAGCTCATCTGCTGCGGGCCGCCAACGCCGCCGCCTCCGGCCTCGGCCGCCTGCTCCTGCAAGGTCCGGTTGTGGCAGGTCACCGCGAACTTGCTCTCGATGCCGTTCCAGGCCACCAGGAAGCGCAGCTTCTGCGGCGGCTCGGGCTGCCCGAAGGCGTCCTCCTTGATGGCCACCCAGCCGTCCAGGCTGTCCGGCTGCGGCTGCTCCTCTGCTTCGTCCATGGGGGCAGAGAGGAAGCCGGGCGCCCGCAGCCTCGCAGCCGCTTCCTTTCCAGCGGCGGCGGCGGCGGCGCCCCTTTGAACTTCAAAGGCTTTCTCTTTTCCGCCAACGTTCTAGAACCCCGATAAACTTTCTTTCCCCTTCCTTTTAGTGAAAGTAGCAAAGCGGCCCGGGAGGACTTGTTGTGGCTCTTTCTGTGACGTCGCCAGCGGCGTTCCTGCTTCTGGTTGGCTGGTTGGCTTCGAAGGGGGAGGAGACTGAGAGTCTTCCCCCACCCCCTTTTTTTGGGTCCCAGGAAGTGGACTTCATAAAAGCAAACACGCTCCTTTAAAAAGAAGGGAGGGACTTTTTTGCACCGTGGGAAGTGGGCTCCCCTACTAATCTGGAAGTTGTAAGCATCCGTTGCCCGCGTTAGAAGCAGCTGCCAAGGGTCCAGAGGTGGCCTCAAGGGTCACCCACCCTTCCGCTTTTCCCGCGCCAGAGAGGTTTTTGTTTCGTTCTGCCGCTTTCCCCGGAAAACACTCCGTTTCGGGAAAACACACTGTTTACTTCTGAATCGACGTTGGGGATTATCCACACTCAGAGATTCCGAGGCACGTCTGCACTTTAAAGCTCTTTTTGTTCTCCGCGAAAAACCGCTCTTTGCCACTGAATACAAATTATAATAAATAATAATAATAATTTTTTATTTATACCCCGCCCTTCCCGGTTCAGAAAACCGGGCTCAGGGTGGCTAACAACAAATTTAAAACACTTAATTGATGCAACAAAAAACAGCATAAAATACAGTATAAAACGTGAATGACAATAAAATCAGAATTCAAAAATCAATTTAAGGGGAAAATCCAACCAATAAACATTAGATGATGCGCCCAGGCTTTAAAGCTTTCCAATTCAGCAAAAAACAGGGGGAAAGAAAAACATTTCGGGTGTGTGCTTAGAAATCACGCGAGAAAGGGAAGTATGGAGATTCCCTCATTTCCAGGAGGAGGCAGTGGTAAAGATCTGCAGGAGTTTGGGAAAAAGCTGGAATGTTTTGCTTCAGGTCTCTTTTCAAGCGCCCCAGATTTGTCCGGGTTCCTGCTCTACCACCGGAGGTTGCTGGGGTAAACAGCCCGCTCTGATTGAGACCTGCACTAGGAACTCTGAGGTCGTTTGAACTGTGGGGTCTACAAATTGTTTTTGGCTCTCCTTTTGTTGAGTGCAGCCTCAAGGCAGCTGAAGATACTGTACACAGCAGTTGCTACACATGGTGATGTGAGCAAAGATGTTGATCCAACCACAACGCACATACACACCGCAACACAGCTGTAAGAGAAGGGGGGAGGCACAAATCAAAACAGCCAGTGGTTCTGAGCCTACATTATCTACATTAATAATAATAAAAATGTTTTGAATGCATTATGAACATGCAACACCAGATGGCACTGGAGAGCAAAATAAATTTCTATGCAATTTTTACATAGCGTTTTTTTTTCTTTTGTTATAATGCTTTAATTTCTGACTCCTTTATAGCGGGTTTTTCCCTGTGTGTAGATGCACCCCTAGACTGGGCAGGAAACCTAGCACTTCTGTAGACCTCACCCTCCACTTTCCCCTTCCCCAGGATCCTCTTCCTTTCACTCTTCCAACCTTCCCAGCCCAATGGATCCTTCCCTGGGGCAATCTGTCGGCCACTGCTCTGGCCTGGCCCAGTCATTCAGAGCCCATGATTGCTGCCCTCAGCAGGGATACCACCTGCAGTCACTTCCACCTGCCCATAGTTTCAGCAGCCACACTGATGCCCTCCATTGGCTGGTGCTTCCTGGTGGATGACTCACCTGCTTCCTTAACTCCTCTAATTGCAGCGATCCAGGTTAAGGATAGCTCTGCCTAGGTCTTGTTTAGGTAGGTCAGTGATGGCCAAACTCAGCCCTCCAGATGTTTTTGGGACTACAATTCCCATCATCCCTGACCACTGGTCCTGTTAGCTAGGGATGATGGGAGTTGTAGTCCCAAAAGAGCTGGAGGGCCAAGTTTGGCCACCACTGACATAGGTTCATAACAGATAGGATTCAGTAGCAGATGACTCGTTTTATTTTAAGACTACTAAACACGGTTTTATCCTTTAAAATGAATTCAAGTACAATTTTTTTTGCAAGGATCTTTCCACATAAAAACACTGCATATGCATTACTATAACATTCCAATTATTTCACTAACAATATTTGTTCTTCCAGTGTAAGACAAACATAGACCCTCGTCAGTGCGGTCCTATGTATTTGTTATTCAACAGGATGTTTCTTTGAATTCAACAGAGCTTACTGTGTGTGTACAGGAATGCAGCCCAAAGTCTATATTTATTCTGTGCCTGCTTCCCTTCTCAGGTGTGTATAATAAGTTATTTTTGCTGTAAAGGCAACAGATTCTAAAGAATCAGTCGTAATGACCACCATAAGATAATATGGATATTATTGCCGCTATGAATAGGTTGGTAACAATTTCGATGCCCTCCTTGTCCACATATCCTTTTAAATAATTTAACACAACTACCGTTGGATCTGTATTGGCCATTTATACCTTGTCCTCTGATCTACTTCTGATAAAATTGTCTTCCAGTCTAATTGATAGCACTACCCGTGAGGCCGACAACAAAATGTTGCAGTGTTCCTGTTCACTGTGCCAGCCAGCCAGCCACGCCTTCCTACACGGCCTTTCCCCTCTGACTCAGTTTCCTTTCTGCCGGCTCCGTCCCTCCACAAACAACCGGCCGAGATTCTGTGACTGCTGCACACACTCAGTAGAGGAACATCCCAGTCCCTGAGATTTCAGGGCCCAAATCTGAGGTCTAAGGGTGGTCCCTGGTGATGTCACAGAGGGGGCCAGGCCACGGTGATGTCATTAAGCATGACTGAGCCCTGGAGATGGAGGTTAATTGGGAAAGGGGAAGAGAGGAGGAGAGCCACCGCACCAGACAGTCTGCTAGAATTTGCAGCTGGCTACTGCCAAGCAGGAGCCTACAAGCTGTGTGCGCAGTCCTTGTAATAATTTTGCCTTTTGTCAAAGGTACTCTCACCCACCTGGCGATTTGAGTTCTCCCCCTGCCACCTGGGGGATGTGGGTAGCGCTGTGGGTTAAACCACAGAGCCTGGGACTTGCCGATCAGAAGGTCGGCGGTTCGAATCCCCAAGACGGGGTGAGCTCCTGTTGCTCGGTCCCTGCTCCTGCCAACCTAGCAGTTCGAAAGCACGTCAAAGTGCAAGTAGATAAATAGGTACCGCTCCGGCAGGAAGGTAAACGGCGTTTCCGTGCGCTGCTCTGGTTCACCAGAAGCGGCTTAGTCATGCTGGCCACATGACCCAGAAGCTGTACGCCGGCTCCCTCCGCCAGTAAAGCGAGATGAGCGCCGCAACCCCAGAGTCGGCCACGACTGGACCTAATGGTCAGGGGTCCCTTTACCTTTGGCCATTGCCCTCTCTACTGCCGCTGCATCCTCAGTGCTGTTGTTGTCTTGTGGCAGCAACACGGGTGCAGCCACAGGTGAGGGTGCAGTTGTGATGGCAGGGCCAGGTATGGTGCTAGGGGGAGGGAGTACAGATCGGGGGCGGGGGGAGCTTTTGTGGCAGCAAAATGTCTCAGCCTGGCTCTGATTCCACCACTGCCTCTTTCCTGGCTTATGCACAAACATCAAAGGTTATTCTACTTTCATTGACTTCCGTCTTTGAATTAAACTCAGTTTTGGGTAACGTAATGGGACCTCTTAGGGATGCGGGTGGCGCTGTGGGTAAAAGCCTCAGCGCCTAGGACTTGCCGATCGCATGGTCGGTGGTTCGAATCCCCGCGGCGGGGTGCGCTCCCATCGTACGGTCCCAGCGCCTGCCAACCTAGCAGTTCAAAAGCACCCCCGGGTGCAAGTAGATAAATAGGGACCGCTTACCAGCGGGAAGGTAAACGGCGTTCCGTGTGCTGTGCTCACTCGCCAGATGCAGCTTGTCACGCTGGCCATGTGACCCGGAAGTGTCTCCGGACAGCGCTGGCCCCCGGCCTCTAGAGTGAGATGGGCGCACAACCCTAGAGTCTGTCAAGACTGGCCCGTATGGGCGGGGGTACCTTTACCTTTACGGGACCTCTTAAATCTGCCATAACTTAGGCTCTGAGCATGTCTTCATCGGGCCCTGGCTGAAACTTTCCTGATGTGCAAATGTGATGGCATTTTGACTCACTGAGCAACAGTATTCATGCCTGAAAATTGGGAATACAGGGAAATAAACAGTGGAGGGATGTTGTGAATGGGTCCCAAGGGGGTTTCAAACTTTTCCCAGCAGCTTCTGACATTCTCCTTCATGACAGTTTAGGATCTTCCCCTGCAACAAGAGCTGGTGGTGGTCTATATTTGTCGCTTTTGCTCATCGCTGCTGACATCCCTCGCAGAAAGAAGCGGCTGTCTCGTGTTACAGCAAAAAGTCCGCAGTCGCCCATCTAGAAACCTGGCAGAGAATTGCCTTCGTATGAAAATCAAGACTTGTCAGGAGAGACAAATGTGAAGTTTACTGCTATCTGGGCACCAGAAGAAATTGTGGAATCTTTACACAGAAGGCAAGTTTCAGAACAGCAAGATTCTCCTTTTTTAATTATGGTAGATTGAACTGGCACAGCTGTTCAATATAGGTGCGGTTGTTTAAAAATGGGTGCCTGAGTCTTCATTCTTATTTTCCATTTTCCTCCCTGTGCCCTTTCCCTTGTGCGTCTTTTATTTAAGACTGTAAACCTGCACAGACGGACTTGTTTTGCTTTGATTCCAGGTAAGCAGCTCCATGACCCTTTTCCCTGCAGCTTAATAAATGCTGCTCAATGTGAGCAATTGGACTGTGGCATAAAAATATAACGAGAGCATATTTCTGCATGCAGTAGTTTTGAAAGTGCATTCATGCTTTGTAAATTGAAATTACATGTTTGTAAAAAACAAACACCCGAAACAAAATGTATGGCTTTGTAGTGTAAAGTATATACTATCATGAAATTCTCTTAATGGCCTGAATTGGATCCTTGGTCAGCAAGGCCACTGGAAGGCCACTTGTGGTAGAGGGTGAAAGGGCAGAGCGACAAAACCCAGAGTTGGCACCTTGTTGGGGGACAGAGGTCCATGCCAATCCTGGAGTCTTGAGGCTCTGTTGCTCACTCCAGGCCTCTTTATAAGGTTATCGGGACTCTCCTCAGGCCAAACACCCTTTTGTTGTTTAGTTGTTTAGCCGTGTCCGACTCTTCGTGACCCCATGGACCAGAGCACGCCAGGCACTCCTGTCTTCCACTGCCTCCCGCAGTTTGGTCAAACTCATGCTGGTAGCTTCGAGAACACTACCCAATCATCTTGTCCTCTGTTGTCCCCTTCTCCTTGTGCCCTCCATCTTTCCCAACATCCGGGTCTTTTCCAGGGAGTCTTCTCTTCTCATGAGGTGGCCAAAGTATTGGAGCCTCAACTTCACGATCTGTCCTTCCAGTGAGCACTCAGGGGTGATTTCCTTAAGAATGGATAGGTTTGATCTTCTTGCAGTCCATGGGACTCTCAAGAGTCTCCTCCAGCACCATAATTCAAAAGCATCAATTCTTCGGCGATCAGCCTTCTTGATGGTCCAGCTCTCACTTCCATACATCACTACTGGGAAAACCATAGCTTTAACGCCAAACACCCTACTGAGCAACATTTTCCATCAGTCCTGCTTCGCATCCTCTTTGAGTGTTCTTGTCTGGCTACTTGCATGATAGCGGTGGCATAGGAAAGGGGGATGCAGTGGGTGGGGGACGCCCCGGGTGTCATCACTGAGGGGGTGAACGCAGTGCCCCGGGTGTCATCACTGAGGGGCCTGGCCTGCAGTGCGCCCGAGCCACACGCCTCTCCTGGGGAGTGACGCAGTGGCTCAGGCACCTGCAGGCTCCACACTGCCTGAAACGGCAACGTGGGGCTTGCGGACTCTGTGGAAGTTCCGCGCAGCGTGCTCTGCCCCGGCTTGCCCCGCCCCATGGGCTTCTTGCCCCGCCCCCAGGTAGCAGGGCATTTGTGCCGCCACGGGCGCCCAAGCAACTAGCTACGCCACTGCATGATAGACAAGAATGTGTTCAAATGAGGAAACAAGCCCATTGCGTGCCCTGTAGTTCCGCACTGATTAATAAACACACCATAAGTCTTTTGGATTATGGGCTTAAACAGGCCACGACTGTATTGGTTACAGGATGTGAGCGGTTTGGCTTAGGCATTGGGTGAAACCAGGCTGTATCTTGACACCCGCCTGTCTGCAGGGGGTCAAACTAAGGGCAAAGCACCAGAAGGGGGAGCCCTATGACTTACATCAAATAGGGGCACCCCGAGGGGTTCCCATTGGGGTAGTGGCATGGCCCTAGCCCACACCTGGGCTTTGGACAGAATCCACACACCCCGGATCCCTTTAACAGGATGCCCTTATCGAAGAGAGGCAGGTGGAGGCTACAACCTCCCCTCCCTTAAACAAAGGCTTACCCAATGCCTAACCTTACAAAGTTGTGACGATGGAGAGCCAAATTGCAGATGCCATTTCGCCAAGTGGAAAAATTCCTACCCGGCCCCAACAACAAGGCAGCGGACATTTGTCCATAGCAAGGTCATGTCAAACCAAAACTTAAAAAGAGGGTGGATGGGTAAGGAGATCTGGCATGGAGGCTAGAGTGGGAAGCCCCCAGCCTTGCCACGGTTTAAATTACCTGTGGCCGTGCCCCCTGCCGGCATGGTTTGGCCGGGCAGGGGTGACATGGCGGGGGTTGGCACAGAGGGAGCATCAATCTCCCGCCCCCTAGCTAGGTCACTATGAGGGCCCGGGTGAGGGGACCTATACAAAGGCAAGGTTTTTTGTTGTTGCTCTGCCTACGTTTTCTTCTGGCCCTGCCCACCACTGGTCATTAGGCCCCCGAAACATTGCACAGAATGTCATGTGGCCCCCAGGCTAAGAACAACAACCAAAAATCCCCTGATTTAAATCTTTAAGATGCCCCAGGACTTTGGCTTTTTTGCTACACAAAAGTAACTCTTCCTGCTTATTAAAAGTGCCTATACAGTGGTACCTCAGGTTACAGATGCGTCAGGTTACAGACACTTCAGGTTACAGACTCAGCTAACCCAGAAATAGGACCTCGGGTTAAGAACTTTGCTTCAGGATGAGAACAGAAATTGCGCAGTGGTGGCGCAGTGGCGGTGGGAGGCCCCTTTAGCTAAAGTGGTGCCTCAGGTTAAGAACAGTTTGAGGTTAAGAATGGACCTCCAGAATGAATTAAGTTCTTAACCCGAGGTACCACTGTATTTTGTTCTTCCTTCATGTCATTGTGGCTACGCAGCTCTCCCTCTGCCTGTTCTGAACATCTTGTGGCATTTTGTTCCTCAGCTGCTCATAACCCAAACAACTCTCTCTGCAGGATAGATTGGCATCCCGCCTTCTCGCTCCTGCAATGGACACGGGATCAAAAGAGAACGAGGCGGAGCCCCCCAGATTCTACCACTTGGAGCTTTATGACTCAGCTGAAGACCTGGAGCTCTTTTCGGAAGAGCCCTTCCGGAGGCGAGATCTGGGCTTGTGCGAAACCAGTAAGACTCAAGGCACAGAGGAGCAAAGGTTGCCTTCCGTGGGCAACGCAAGAGAGAGCGACAAAGGGGAAGATACATACTGCATTACGTGCTGCGTCCCGATCAGAGCCGATGGTCAGCAGAGTGGCGACCACAGTGAGCACGAGGTCATTCCTCTTAGCAGCGTGGTGGAAATTGCAAAGGTGGGGACGATGGAAAACCAGTCAATCCAGTCTGGAAGGAGGGGGTTTCAGTCGGTTATGATTCACTGGGCCAAAGATTTTGGGTCTAATATACAGCTGAGTGATTGGGTGAAATTATGGAAGGAAGGTTTAAAATTTACTGCATGCAATGCCCTAAAAGAAAATGTGATGAAAAGGATGTATAGATGATATATTACACCTGTCAAGTTAGCAAAAATGTATAAAGTCAGTAACAAATTCTGGAAATGTAAAGAAAAAGAGGGAACATTTTATCACATGTGGTGGGAATGTAAAAAGGTGAAATGTTTCTGGGAGATGATATATAATGAGTTGAAAAAAATGTTGAAATATACATTTATAAAGAAACCAGAAGCATTTTTATTGGGCATTGTGGGGAGTGACATAAATAGAAAGGAATGTAAGCTCTTTTTATATGCAATAACAGCAGCAAGAATATTATTGGCCCAAAAATGGAAGCAAGAAGAGTTACCGATGATTGAAGAATGGAGGATGAAGTTAATGGACTATGCAGAATTAGATAAACTAACAGGAAGGATTCGAAACCGGCGTGACCAGAAATTCACAGAAGACTGGAGTAAATTTACGGACTATTTGAAAAGTAATTGTGAAGAACAGATGACGTTTGTAGGGTTGCAAGAAGTTTTGTGAGGAGTATTATTAGAATTATTGTAAAAATGGACAAGGGGGAGGATGATTTGTTAAGAGATGCAAAGGCAATATAAAGCTAAGAAATGCATAAGAAGTGGTTAAAACGGTGGATCATCAGAGGTGCTGACGGAAGTCTAAAAAGATTGTATAAGTGATAAGTTTTGTGGTACATTTTATAATTTATATGTTAAAATTAATAAAAAATATTATATAAAAAAAGGAAGGAGGGGGTTTCTCTTTCCACGATAATCCAGTATGCTAAACGCTGTCATTTCTTGAATAGGATGAGTTTCGGAAAAACGTATGCAGACTGGAAGATCAGATCACTCACCTGGAGAGCTTTTCTAGCCACTTGGAGGAAATTTTTATCACCATCGAGGTGAGACATCTTCATGCATTGGAAACCTCAAGAATGGGACCTCAATACTTGATTGTGGGGCTACCTTTGGGTTTTCCAAATGCTGCGGTTGGACAGTTGTTTGAGATAGACTATTACCAGCGCATAATTCTAGTACTCAAAGGTTGGCACTGGCTGCTCACATGCTACAAGACCAGGTTCAAGGTTCTTGTATTAAGTTAGTAATTTGGACCCAAGATACTTCAAGGATGACCTGATCCCTTATATCCCTGCCCAGTCACAGAGGTCTTCAGGGGAGTCACTGTTAGAAGTCCCCCATGGTGCATATCCACTAGAAACCACAGGTTGAGGATTGTGGGCTGAATTTTATGGTGCTCCCTACCAGTTGAGATCAGACAAGCCCCATCCATACTGAACTCCTCCTTAAACTGCCAAACCATGTTAAAATACCTTCTTCTTTGGGGCTGAAATCTGCTCTTCTCCTCCTTCATCTTCAGGCAGGTAATGTTTGGGGGTGTCCTTGTAAATACCCTTGAAGTTTTGCACCTCTCTTGGTTACTGAATGAATCTACAAAAAGGCACACGCAACACGCTGGCTAATAACTTCGTAAATATATAATCGGTATGATGTCATTCAAAATATACGAATAAGCCACTTCAAAATAATATATAAATCATACAACACATCTCACAAAATATACAAGTAACTGCAAGTTGTTGTTACAGATAGGTAGCCATGTTGGTCTGCCATAGTCAAAACAAAAAAAATTCCTTCTAGTAGCACCTTAAAGACCAGCTAAGTTAGTTCTTGGTATGAGCTTTCGTGTGCATGCACACTTCTTCAGATACACTGAAACAGAAGTTGCCAGATCCTTCTATATAGTGAGAAGGTGGGGAGGGGTATTACTCAGAAGGGTGGTGGGAATGGGTGATTGGCAGATAGCTGTGATGAGCCTGTTGACGACTCCTAACGACTGCAATAGGTCTTACAGGAAAAAGCAAGGGGTGAGAAGGTGAAAAATGGCTTTGTCATGTATAATGAGATAATAATCCAATGTCTTTGTTCAGACCAGGTCTCTCCGTGGTTTTAAGTTTGGTAATAAGTTGCAATTCAGCAGCTTCTCTTTCCAGTCTATTTCTGAAATTCCTTTGTAGTAAAACAGCTACTTTGAGATCTTGTATAGAATGTCCTGGGAGATTGAAGTGTTCAGATTTATGTCCGTTTATTCTTTGGCGTAAGGTTTGACCTTATGCCAAAGAGTTATATGCAAGTTGTTATATGTATCAGAGTCAAACAAAGGTTTGAACACCAAACCATCTCTCAATGGAAGACGTCTCACACAAGTCTTAAAGGAAAACACCTCTAAGCTATTCATTGGTTGTTTGAACCTTTGTTTGACTCTGATACGTATAACAACTTGCAGTTTCTTGTATATTTTGTGAGATGTGTTGTATGATATATATATTATTTTGAAGTGGCTTATTCGTATATTTTGAATGACATCATACCGATTATATATTTACTAAGTTATTAGCCAGTGTGTTGTGTTTGCATTTTGGTAGATTGTCCCATTTTGCAATGCAGGGGTATATGTTTGTTCAGGTTACTGAATTAAGACAGATCCATAAATGAACCGTTGCTGCGTAGTAGATAACAACAACCGGCCCCTATGTAGAAACTGCCACTGATTCCAAGAGCAAAGCGCGCTTTGTGTTCATTCAGATTTCTCTCTTTTTAGTGTGGGGTGTCTGGTGGGAAATTTGTGCAGCTGGAAAATCTGCTTCTTTTTTTAAAAAAAACACCTATTATAGAATAGAATCATAGAATCATAGAGTTGTAATAGACCACAAGGGCCACCGAGGCCAAGCAGGAAACACCATCAGAGCACTCCTGACATGTGGTTGTCAAGCCTCTGCTTAAAGACCTCCAAAGAAGGAGACTCCACCACACTCCTTGGCAGCAAATTCCACTGTCGAACAGCTCTTACTGTCAGGAAGTTCTTCCTAATGTTTAGGTGGAATCTTCTTTCTTGTAGTTTGGATCCATTGCTCCGTGTCCGCTTCTCTGGAGCAGCAGAAAACAACCTTTCTCCCTCCTCTATATGACATCCTTTTATATATTTGAACATGGCTATCATATCACCCCTTAACCTCCTCTTCTCCAGGCTAAACATGCCCAGCTCCCTTAACCGTTCCTCATAAGGCATCGTTTCCAGGCCTTTGACCATTTTGGTTGCCCTCCTCTGGACACGTTCCAGTTTGTCAGTGTCCTTCTTGAACTGTGGTGCCCAGAACTGGACACAGTACTCCAGGTGAGGTCTGACCAGAGCAGAATACAGTGGCACTATTACTTCCCTTGATCTAGATGCTATACTCCTATTGATGCAGCCCAGAACCAGTATTATAAAATCCAGGCAGGTTTGTCGTGTAGGTCCTTTCGTGGATCTTTTGGGTGGCAATTGCTCAGCAAACCCATTCCAACCCTGAAATGCTCTCTTTCCAGGAGAATTTTGCTAGGCAGGAGCAGAACTTGGAGAGGGGCTACAATGATCTCATGTTGACCCTCGAGCAAAGGTATGAGGAAGTCATGCAGGCTTTGGGGGAAGAGAAGAAGGAGAAGCTGGAAGGATTGTATGAGCAGCTGGTCAGCTGTGGAGGCAACCTGGACACATGTAAAGACCTGATGGAAACCATTGAGGATCTCAGCCAAGGTGAAAATAAAGTGAATGCAATCAAGGTAAGGAGATGTATGCGATGGAAATAACCAGTGATGAAATACCGTATTTTTCGCTCTATAGGACGCACTTTTCCCCCTCCAAAAATTAAAGGGAAATGTGTGTGCATCCTATGGAGCGAATGCAGGCTCCTTGGCTTCAGCAATAGCAACGCGAAGCCTCCAAAGCGCAGAGGCTCTGGAGGCTTCGCATTGCTTTCGCTGAAGCCTGGAGAGCGAGAGGGGTTGGGGCGCACCGACCCCTCTCGCTCTCCCAGGCTTCAGGGATAGCCGCCTGAAGCCTTCGGAGCACAGCGCGGGGTTCCTTTTGCTGAAGCCGGGAGAGCAAGACTCTCCTGGCTTCAGCAGAGAGGGAGAGTTGCGCAGCGGCCCTTCAGCCATTTCTCCTGCCGCTTCGCTGAAGGGGCGCTGAGCAGAGAGGGGCAATCCCCCCCCCTGTTCTCCCCCTCTAAAACAAGGTGCGTCCTATGGTCGGGTGCGTCCTATAGAGTGAAAAATACGGTACTTATTTAGTCTTTAACCTCAAATCTGTTTTGTTTTGTTTTAAGAGTCAGTTGATAAATGCAAATGAGACTGTCTGTAAGCAAATTAAAATTAAATGAGATTTATTATTTTTATCCCACTTTCCTTAAAGAGTCCTGGAGACTGTAGTTTAAGAGTGCTGGGAATTGTAGCCTTAAATCAGTACCCTTAAAAAATTGCAGTTCCCAGAATTCTTTAGGGGGAACTGTGATCATAGGCGCCAGGTCTAGCACCAAAAATTGTGGGTTCTGACGTGACTTCTGGTTTCCACCGGACGTTGTGTTGGAGCCCCAATGCAACCTCCCAGAGGACCTTCGGAGGTCTTGTGAGGACTCGGATGTGACCTTCAAGACCCCGCAAGGTCTCAGAAGTGATGTCCGAGGCCCTGCCAAACCTCTGAATGTGACTTCTGGTAGAAACTTGAGGTTCTGGCATAATCTCCGAGACCCTGTGAGGCCTCAGAAGCGGTTCCACATGACTGACACAACGTGACATCATGATGTCATCACGTTACGTCACGGGTACCATTGGGCACCCATAACCTGGGGCCCAAGTCAGCGCCCTTGACTGTGTTGGTTAAAGTGGTGAAAGAGTGCTTAAATGTGTAGTATGGATGCGACCCACATTTCTGAGGGAGTGTCTGTAAGGAACAAAAGAACTGCCACAGCAGAGTTGCTAAACTCCAAGCGATATTATGAGGATTATACAAATGGCCTACCTGACACATTTGATTCAGTGGTTACTAAAAAGCCTACTGCTTTTCGGTTCTTGAGTGTGTGTTTTTTTAATAGATGTATCGTATTTTTCCGTGTCTAAGACTAGGTTTTTAGGTTTAAAATTGGGGCTCGTCTTATACACAGGCAGTGCTGGGTGGTGTTTTCTTAATTTGGAGTCCCCAAAAATGGGGGGGGCGTCTTATACACAGGCAGTGCTGGGTGGTGTTTTCTTAATTTGGAGTCCCCAAAAATTGGGGGGCGTCTTATACATGGGGACGTCTTATACACAGAAAAATACAGTACTTGTTAATTGCCCTGGGAACACTGTGACATTTTATACATACAGATGCCAGGATTCTTTGGAGGAAGCCGTGTGCTTTCAATATAGGGTAGGTACTCGCAAGCCTCTGTCCCACAAAGCGGCTTAAGAGAAACTGAAAGGGGAAAAAGCAGCTCTTCTGTAAGAAGGACAATCAGATCCATTGTGAGACTGAACACTGGCATGTTCAGAAGCTGGTGAAGGCCAGGCTATTGCAGGGTAAATGAATTTCTCCAACACCGAATATTTTGAGGGTGGGGAGAGCTAAGCTCAGGGCCTTTTTTCAGCTGGAATTCAACAGAACCCAGTTCTGGCACCCCTCAGGTGGGTGCCATAATAATAATAATAATAATAATAATAATAATAATAATAATAATAATAATAATATCTTTATTGTCATTACCCCCTCTCGGGGACAACGAAATTACTTGACTGCTCCATAAAAACACTAATTAAAACAATACAGTATAGTATAGCAAGGAAGATTAGATGACTTTCAAAGTCCAGGCTTCCCATTCAGGGCCGAGATCGCTCTGGAGAAGAAGCTGTTCTTAAGACGGCTCGTTCTTGTCTTCATCGTCCTGTATCTCCGTCCCGACGGCAGGAGCTCGAAGAGACAGTGACCAGGATGCGATGGATCTTTTACTATGTCCAGTGCCTTCCTATGGCACCTAGTGGCATAAATCTGCTCTAAGGTGGAGAGTGGGCAGCCAACAATGCTCTCTGCTGCCTTAACAACTCTGCACAACCCCATCCTGTCCTGGGTAGTACAGCTTCCGTACCACACACATAAGCCATAAGTGAGCACGCTCTCAATGGCACAGTGATAGAAGGCAAGCAAGGAAGGCGTTATGGTGAGGTCCAGCACCTCTTTCCCTAGAAAAACATCACTGGCTAAGCTCCATTGAATTTGATGGGGTGCTTCTGATTGAAGATAGGCACAATGGTTTTACTTGGCCTTGTAGGGGAGGACATTAACAGACAGGACTGTAAATTATTTTTATATGCAATAACGGCAGCAAGAATATTATTGGCACAAAAATGGAAGCAAGAAGAATTACCGACGAAAGAAGAGCGGCAAATGAAATTAATAGACTATGCAGAATGAGATAAATTAACAGGAAGGAGTCGAAACCTGCGGGACCAGAGATTCTTAGAAGACTGGAGTAAATATTTGAACTATTTGGAAAGCAATTGTAATAAACAGATCACACTAGTAGGACCGCAAGAAGTTATGTAAGGAGGATTAGGTGAAATATTGCAAGGAAGGCTATGAAGAGAACTATTAGGTAATGATAATTAAAAGTAATAGAGAAATTAAGAAATGCAGAATAAGTGATAAAGAATGGGAAATCTTCTGAGGTTGTTGACGGAAGTCCAAGATATTGTATAAGACCAGAAATTATGCTAAATGACTGTTGGAAATGATATGTTAAAATTAATAAAAATGTATAATAATTAAAAGAAGAAGATAGGCACAATGGGGTTGAATCCCTGCTTCCAATCAGATCAGAGCAGCACAAAGTGTCACAAATTATACTGATGATAAACGTAGCACAACTGAAATGCATCAACAAGTGGTTGTTGACACACACACACACACACACAGAGCAGAGAGAGAGAGAGAGAGAGAGAGAGAGAGGTGGAATTGATTTGATGAATGGGTTTAATACGGACTTGCCTGAAATGGTGGCCAGAAATCTCCTGCATTTTGTTCATGAGATCCAGCCAGCGGACCAATTTTGAGATAAGCGCCTAGTTATTAGACAAGTGCTTCAGTTCAGAACATAGCAGGGGATTTTGCAATCCTGTGAGTGATCACCGTAATTTTGCTCTGTCGTGTAGCCGGAAGTACAAGATGGGGGGCGGGGGAGGGGAGCTTTTTAGTAGAACAATCGCAGCAATCTTTGAGAAGGAGATTAAAAGAAGAAATTGATTTTTCCTGAAGAGTCCTCCCACAATGGTTTTATTGCTATTTTTAGCAACCAGCTGTTATTTCTCTTTAATTATGACTGGAGGGGGAAGGCAGCTTCCAAATAATAATCCCCCCCCAATAAAACTTTCCAAACTGTGCCAGGCCAGAAGAGAACCCCGAAGATTATATCTAAATTTAGTCCCCCATCTGCACTATACTTTTAAATCACTTTAAACTGTTATGGCTTCCCCCAAAGAATGCTGGGAACTGCTTTTCTTAAGAGTGCTGAGAGGTGTTAGAAGACAATCATCATCATCATCATCATCATCTTCATCATTTATACCCCACCCATCTGGCTGGGTTTCCCCAGCCACTCTGGGCGGCTTCCAACAAAAGATTAAAAATGGGGCGGGGTATAAATAATAAGATATTATTATTATTATTATTATTATTATTATTATTATTATTATAACGGGCTGCTCAGAACTTTAGCAAACTTCATGGAGGCATGCCTCCTTGGACAAGCCAAAATAAAGACGGGTAGTAGTTTTCACCAAAATTGGAAATAAATATATGATAAGTGGATTAGAAAGAAGAAATGTGTCACTTTCAGCACTTTTTAACCTGCTGAACCTGTGGTAATTTTATTATATCTGTTTGAAATTCGGCATATCATAGACCTCTTCAGGTAAATCATGTATGTCAAGTTCCAAGTATTAGATCAACAGATGCCATTTTTATGAACAATAGTATTTTGTGGTTAAATGGCAAAACCTTTGTTGTTGCTGTTGCATACCTTAACATTCCTGTGCCCCTTTAATTTTGATTATAATGTGTTCCTATCATTAAACCACCTTTTTCTCCTCCTTCTCCTTCTCTCTCTCTCTGCCTCTCTTGTCTACAGGCCGCAGTAGCTACAAGCCACAGGTAATATCAAGCCCTGAATTCGTAGTTCCTCACCCTCCTGCGTACTTTAAGATGAATATACTGAATATCTTTCTTATGCTTGAGAGCCTGTGTCCATCCCTCATGTTTATTACAAATGGATCAGGGTTGAAAGACATGTTCCCCCCCCCCGCGTTTATCCACACAACAACTTGTGAGATAGCTTGGGTTGAGAGTGGTCGTCACCATCCCATGGTCACGAAGTGAACTTTTAACGATTATGTTTGCATCCCTCCAACAGTTCTCCAATGAAAATAGGGACGTCCCATTCCATAATGATAATTTTACTATTTATACCCCACACATCTTACTGGGTTGCCCCAGCCACTCTGGGCAACTTCCAACACATGTAAAAACACACAACTTCCCTATAGCAGGGGTTGTCTTCAGACGCTCGGGGGTTGGATAACTCCATACCTGTAAACAATTTCTCCGATGAAAATAGGGACACCCTAAGGAAAAGTGACATGGGTGGCGCTGTGGGTTAAACCACAGAGCCTAGGACTTGCCGATCAGAAGGTCGGCGCGTTCGAATCCCCGCGACGGGGTGAGCTCCCGTTGCTCGGTCCCTGCTCCTGCCAACCTAGCAGTTGGAAAGCATGTCAAAGTGCAAGTAGATAAATAGGTACCGCTCCGGCGGGAAGGTAAACGGCGTTTCCATGCACTGCTCTGGTTGCCAGAAGCAGCTTGGTCATGCTGCCACAGACCCGGAAGCTGTATGCCGGCTCCCTCAGCCAATAAAGCAAGATGAGCGCCACAACTCCAGAGTCGGTCATGACTGGACCTAATGGTCAGGGGTCCTTTACCTTTACCTTTAAGGAAAAGTGGGGCATTCCAGGATCAAATCAGAAACGGGATGACTTCTCTAAATCAGGGATGTCCCTGAAAATAGGGACACTTGGAGGGTCTGTGTTTGATTTGTGGTTCCAATATTGTCCAATTGCAGCCTTCCTCAACCTCCTGGTACCCTCCAAATGTTTTGAACTACAATTCCCATCATCCCTGGCCATTGGCCATGCTGGGGCTAGCAGGAGGTGTAGGCCAAAATATCTGGAGGGCATCAAGTTTGGGAAGGCCATATTGTATTTGTTAAGTTGTGGGTGAACATATCAGACGACACAGTGATTCTTCAGGCAGCTCTTGTTTATTCACAGGCCAGGACAGAACTGAACTGAAGGGTTCAGTCAGCCTGCTTATATAGAGCTCCAGTACAATGTAACTAACAATTTTCTAAAACTATCCAATCACTGAACGTCACTTTGGATCCCTTATTTGCATAACTACCGTATCCCCCTGCTGGCCCAGGGTGAGAACTTCAGTACATAACAGTATTGCTCTTTCTTTTGTAATTTGTTTTAAGTATTCATCTGACAGAAGAATGGGACGAGAAGCATTAAATAGCAGCTAAGAAACTCAACTTTCCAAGTGTCAGTCCTTATGTAGCTTAGGTTGCCACCATTCATGGGCATATCACCAGGCGTAAATAGCAGAAGTACAAAAATTATTTAGGGGGGGAAATTACTAAAGGTGGCTGGGGGGATGCCTCCCAGTAGTCCCATGAGGACTGAGCATGCTCAGTGGACACAGAATGCTAACTGATCGCTGAGTGGAGAAGAGAAAACCATGAGAGAATGGGGGAAAGGAATGGAGTATTCTGAACAGGGGCAGTCCATACTGCAACACTTTGTTGCAGATCCCACTTGTATACTGTACATAATAATGATGAGGATGATTTTGACATAACGGATTTATATCTATCTCAAACACACACAAACACGCACACATGAGAAAATATGAGACATTAATATATAGCCAAGCTCTTAGAGTTGCTGTCTTACTCTCCATTTCTCTGGCACTTGCAGATTGGTCGACTTCTTGAAAAAGGACATGGATATAGATCTTTCAGTGCCGACAAACTTTGAAGCCCGGGTCATAGATTTCTCTGATATTCAGGAATTAATGGACTCCATTAATTCAGTCCCTGGTATTTTCATTGTATTTATTTCTGGTTTCTATCTGACCCTCAGAATTCTCCCCCGTCCATACCCCTTACTGGCTTTGCTTGTGCCCCAATGATTTCTGCCTGGCTGAAAAGTGTCTTTGAACTCAATGTTTAGGAAAGTTTTTAATGTCTGATGTTTTATTGTGCTTTTAATTCTGTTGGGAGCCACCCAGGGTGGCTGGGGAAACCCAGCCAGATGGGCGGGGTATAAATAAATTGTTGTTGTTGTTGTTGTTGTTACAATAATACGTCTTTCTTGTCTGAATGGAAGAAAGAGCTGGGGTGGGTGGGTACGTAGAAACTAATCTATTGTACAAAGCGAAAATTTACATGTATTGCTCCACCCACTTTTGTCTCTAGCCACACCCACCACTGTCATGTGGCCCTCGGGAGATTGCCCAAAAAAGAAGTGTGGCCCTTGGTGGTTCTCCCCACCATCAGCTTGGTGTAGACTAAATACTAAACCAGGCAGACAACTAGCATAAAATATAAAGCAATTTCTTCTGTTAAGTGGTGTTGCTTATCTTTGGAATTCGCCATGTGAATTCTGTTTAACAGATTATATTTTCCCCTTCCGCCCTCCTTGTTCCAGTTCCTTTGCCTCCTTGTGCACCAGTAATGAACACCCAGGATCCCAATTCTGCTACTGGTACGTCCGTGAGAGTCTGCTGGAGCTTCTTTTCAGAAGATATTGTCGAAAGCTACCAGCTGTACTACAAACGAGTGAGCAACGAGACATCAAAAGAGGAGCAGGACGGTAAGGCTGCCTATACGCCATGACCATAGCTGTCAACCGTCCCTTATTTGGTGGGAAACTCCCTTATCCCAGCACCATGTCCCACTGCTGTCCCTTATTGATGATGTCCCTTAAATTTCCCGGGTTTCAAAGGAAGCAGCTCCTCTCCCTCCCTCCCTGCCAGCCAGGGTGGAGGGAGGCTCCAACTGGGTTGCTTGGTTGCCTGGCCTGCCCCCCTCCGGCCTCCTCTCACCAGCCTTGGCCCCCAGGAGCCCCTCCCCGCTGGGACTGGCGGGAGCCTTGGGCTCTTCCGCTGCCATCCTCCTCGCGGGCCGCCGAACTGAGCATCTCTGTCTAGGGTAGCATCTTCATAGCTCGGACTTCGTTTTGCACGAAAAGTGGTTGCTGCTTGTAGTTATTTAATTGCAGTGTTTCATCAGCTGGTCTCCTGAGCAGCAACCTCTGGAAACGAAGGGCTAAAAACCGGTGCTGCTCTCCAAAATTATCTGGTCCCTTTTAACTTCGTATTTCAGGTGGTTGACTAAAATCCCTTATTTTGGCTGCTGATCCCTTATTTTCGAGGCTTCTGGTCCCTATTTTCAAATCTGTAAGTTGACAGCTATGGCCATGACTGTCCTCAAAGAATTCTGGGAACTTTAGTTTCCCACACACAGAGCTATAATTTCAAGCACCTGTCGAGGTGGTTGTCCGGGGTCCTGAAACAACAGTCCTGAAACCTTTTTAAAAACTGGTGAGCCAGTAGGAAAATACAAAGCATTATCTTTATTTTTATTTGAAAATTAAATCTGGCTGAGAGGCTCCCGCCACTGAACTATGAAATGGTGCAGCAGATATTGAAAGGGTTCCTGCTTAGAAGCAGGTTTCGGAAAAGGCCATTTTAAAATAACTTCCTAAATCTCCCGCTTTCTCACTGCAGCGTTTATGCTAAACGTGAAAGAAACATATTGCACAGTTACTAACCTGGCGCCCAACGCGCAGTATGAGTTTTGGGTGAAAGCCCTCAACAGAGCCGGGGTCGGTTCAGCGAGTGAACGAGCTGTTTACATCACAGGTAAATGCATTTCTGATTTCGAATGGCTTTTGACATTCGCCTTTTCCTGAGTTTTGAACGAAGCAAAGTCTACAGAAGTGGGGCGTGAAGCAGCTAAAGTTTGTTGAACTCTGCAAGTTTTTTTATTTATCTCAAAAACTTACACCCCACCAGAGCTGCTTACAAAGACAAAACAACACTATAAAAAGCCTTTTCTAGTAGATAATTTGGCAGGCAATCTCACTGTTATCTTTCAAGAATATCTTCAAGATCCTTTTATGCCTATTCAGCTTGAATTTTCTTCAGATTAGCCAGTCATTTTAATGATAATTTTGTACTGCATGTATAGTATTTTATTTTTGTTTGTTTATATATTTATGTATATTAATTAATATATAATTTATTGGTTTGTTTTTGTTTTATTATGTATTTTCTGGGGGTCTTTATATTGTGATTTTATGTTGTGAGATCTACAGGTATAGGGCAGTATACAAATTAAATAAAGAAATAAAAAAAAATGAATAGATATTTTTAAAGATTATATCCCGCTTTTTAATCATCTGGGCCTCAAAGCAGCTTATGGCGATAAAAAATATGCAAAATATAAAGCATCAATTAAACTTCAAGCACTTTAAACCTCAGAAATTTAAAATCTCAAAAATGGAAACAAAAACATGAGGTTAAAACAAAAACATTAAATAAGAATTCATGATGCAAAGACCACCTGAAACGAAATTGTTTTAACCAGGAGCCTGAACTTTAGCAGGGATGGTGCCTGCCTGATTTCAAGTGGGAGGGAGTTCCAAATGCTTTACTATATTTGCATAAATTGCTGAATACCGCCTTGATATTTTACATGAGATGGTGGAATATAAATACTGCAATGAAATAAAGGAATAAATTACCGTATTTTTCGCTCCATAGGGCGCACCTGACCATAGGGCGCACCTAATTTTCAGAGGGGGAAATAAAGGAAAAAATATGACCCCCCCAGCTCTGGGAGCAGCGGACAGAAGCGCGCAGCCTGTGTGCTTCTCCCAGACCTTCTCCCTGCTTTTACGAGAGGTGTGGGAATTCCCCCATCTCCCGTAAAAGCCCACAGGAGCCGCGCACCCTTTAAAGGTGCGGTGCTCCTGCAGGCTTTTCTACCAGGTGGGGGAATTCCCCCACCTCCCACAGAAGCCCGCAGAAGCCGCGCGCTCTTTAAAGGGTGCTTGGCTCCTGTGGGCTTTTCTACAAGGTGGGAGAAGGGACTGATGTGGCCAGTCAGTCCCTTCTCCCTCCTGGGGAAAAGCCCGCAAGAGCCGCACGGAGCTTGTGTGCGGCTCTTGGAGGCTTTCCCCGCCTGCCTCCCCCTGCATTCGCTTCATAAGACGCACACACCTTTTCCCTTGCTTTTTAGGAGGGAAGAAGTGCTTCCTATAGAGTGAAAAATACGGTAATGTAAATATTCAGCAGGGGAGGGGGGCAAGAAGAACTGATAATCTGAGAGGATGCTGAAAGCCCAACCATTGTGGAGGGGCTGATCTGTTTGTGTGTGTGTGTCTTTGATCTTTGTTTTCAAGTTAATCAATGAAAACCTTAATACTATAATACTTTTAAAAGACAAACCCTCATAGTATCTCTCATAACCAAATGGCTCAGGGAAAAAAATATTTATCTGCTTCTTCTTTTTTTAAAGCTCCTTTAGCACCTGTCCTCAAAAGGAAGGAGATCCAGAGTTGTGAACATGCAGCGCTGGTGCGCTGGGAATCTGGGAACACAAATCCTGTTGACTCCTACACTGCTGAATTGTCCAAGCTGACAGATGGAGAGGACGGGAACATCATTACTGAGTGAGCTGCATAGTATTAGATGCATGCAATGCCGCGGTTTAGCTCGGGCCATGTCTTTCAAAACGCCCCAAGAGCCAAGGGGAAGGATGGAGTTTTGAGCTAAGGGTTAGCAAACTTCATTCCTGATAAGGCCTGGGAGGCTGCATACAAGGCAAAAAGCTTCTCTACAGCAGGTCTCCTGGGTCATAGCTGTTTCTCTTAAAAAGGCCACGTGCCTTTTTTGTGGTATTCACCGTATTTTTTGCTCTATAAGACGCACTTTTTCTCCCCTAAAAAGTAAGCCGAAATGTGTGTACGTCTTATGGAGCGAATGCAGGCTGTGCAGCTATCCCAGAAGCCAGAACAGCAAGAGGGGTCGTTGCTTTCGCTGTACAGTGATCCCTCTTGCTATTCTGACTTCTGGGATTCAGAATATTTTTTTTCTTGTTTTCTTCCACCAAAAACTAGATGCGTCTTATGGTCTGGTGCATCTTATAGAGTGAAAAATACAGTAGTTGATAATACATACACTGCAGTAGGTGCACAGGGACGTGGGTGGCGCTGTAGTCTAAACCACTCAGCCTCTTGGGCTTGCCGGTCGGAAGGTCGGTGGTTCGAATCCCCACAATGGGGTGAGCTCCTGTTGCTCTGTCCCAGCTCCTGCCAACCTAGCAGTTTGAAAACACATCAGTGCAAGTAGATAAATTGGTACCGCTGCAGCGGGAAGTTAAACAGTGTTTTCATGCACTCTGGCTTCCATCACGGTGTCCCATTGTGCTAGAAGCGGTTTACTCCTGCTGGCCATGTGACCCGGAAAGCTGTCTGTGGACAAACACTGGCTTCCTCGGCCTGAAAGCGGAATGAGCAACCCCATAATTGCCTTTGACTGGACTTAACTGCCATGGGGCCCTTTAGCTTTACCTTTCTTTTACAGTAGGCGTTAAGTTGTGGGTGAACATATCAGACGACACAGCGATTCTTCAAACAGCTCTTGTTTATTCACAGGCCATAACAGAACTGAACTGAAGGGTTCAGCCAGCCTGCTTATATAGAGCTCCACTCCAACGCAGCAGTAACCACTTTCTGTAACTATCCAATCACTGAACGTCACTTTCAATTCCTTATTTGCATATGTGGACCTGAGTGAAAACTATCTACAGTATCCCCCTGCTGGCCCAGGGTGAGAACCTCAGGACATAACAGTAGGCACACTTGACCCACACTGAGACCATTGGGCCTTGGGAATTGCAAGGGGTCAAAGACTATTTCTGCAGTCTCCACCCAAGAGCCACCAATCAGCATGAAAAGGGAGCTTTTAGCCACTCAGACTTCTGTCTTCTCGCTCTTTGTGCTGATTGGAGCTTCTGGTTCCTGGCTCACCTCAGACGGCTGCCTTTGTCCCACTCCAAAGATTTTGATCCCGACATCGGAACAGATTTGTGTGTGGAGGGGGTGAGGGAGGACTCTTTCTGCCCCATTTCTCCACTCTTCCTCAAATGCCTTTTGTGCTCCCTTGACAACAGTGATCCGTTAGGTTTCCTTCTGTTTTTCTCTCTCTCCAGGTCCATTGTTGGCATTCCAAATTGTGAAGCGCTGATTCAGCTGGAGCCAGGACACAACTACTTGCTCTCTGTGAAAGCCGTCAACATGGGAGGTTCCAGCGAGCGGAGCGAGCCTGTCTCCATCCTAAGCACAGGTATAATAATAATAATAATAATAATAATAATAATAATAATTTATTATTTATACCCCGCCCATCTGGCTGGGTTTCCCCAGCCACTCTGGGCGGCTTCCAACAGAACACTGAGATACAATAACCTATTAAACATTAAAAGCTTCCCTAAACAGGGCTGCCTTCAGATGTCTTCTAAAAGTCTGGTAGTTGTTTTTCTCTTTGACATCTGGTGGGAGGGCGTTTCACAGGGTGGGTGCCACTACCAAGAAGGCCCTCTGCCTGGTTCCCTGTAACTTGGCTTCTCGCAGCGAGGGAACCACCAGAAGGCCCTCAGAGCTGGACCTCAGTGTCAGGGCAGAACGATGGGGGTGGAGACTCTCCTTCAGGTATACTGGACCAAGGGGTTTAAAGGTCAGCACCAACACTTTGAGTTCTGCTTGGAAACGTACTGGGTAGTAATTACAAGAACAATTTTTCACACCTGTATGGGCAGAATGGCTGCTTACCTAGTCCTGGGAAGGGGTGAGTGGGTTGCGGCCTGGCTACGGTAGGCCCCAATTCCAGGGGAGCAACGCTGGGCATGTGCGAATGGGGCCATCATACAGGAGTTGTTTGCATTTGCAAGGTTCCGCAGTCCCTGCCGGCTACAATATTCCATCCTTTCACAGGCACTTCCTTCACTCTGAATGAGGAGACGGCCCACCCTTGCTGTCTGTGCTAGAAGACGGATTGACAATTGCATGTTGCAAAACTGAGAGTCCCAAATGTGAATGGCCCTTCCGTGAAAACAGCTTTACAAGGTATGGAATCTATAGGCCTGTTTCATAGGCTTTGTTGTTGTTGTTGTTGTTGTTTAGTCGTTTAGTCATGTCCGACTCTTCGTGACCCCATGGACCAGAGCACGCCAGGCACTCCTGTCTTCCACTGCCTCCTGCAGTTTGGTCAAGCTCATGCTGGTAGCTTTGAGAGCACTGTCCAACCATCTCATCCTCTGTCGTCCCCTTCTCCTTGTGCCCTCAATCTTTCCCAACATCAGGGTCTTTTCCAGGGAGTCTTCTCTTCTCATGAGGTGGCCAAAGTATTGGAGCCTCAGCTTCAGGATCTGTCCTTCCAGTGAGCACTCAGGGCTGATTTCCTTCAGAATGGATAGGTTTGATCTTCTTGCAGTCCATGGGACTCTCAAGAGCTCCAGCACCATAATTCAAAAGTATCAATTCTTCGGCGATCAGTCTTCTTTATGGTCCAGCTGTCACTTCCATACATCACTACTGGGAAAACCATAGTTTTAACTATATGGGCCTTTGTTGGCAAGGTGATGTCTCTGCTTTTTAAGAAGCAGGCGTCTTTTAATTTCGTGGCTGCTGTCACCATCTGCAGTAATCATGGAGCCCAAGAAAGTAAAATCTCTCACTGCCTCCATTTCTTCTGATTTTATTTCACCTTTTCTTCTTTGGCAGGGATTTGCACTGAAATATACTTGGGAGTCCTGTAGTGATTTCATGCTCTTTATTGCAGCTTGTAAAACAGTGATTCAATTGCCCCCCCCAAACCTCAGGCTTTTATATACAGTGGTACCCCGCAAGACGAATGCCTCGCAAGACGGAAAACCCGCAAGACGAAAGGGTTTTCTGTTTTGGAGGCGCTTTGCAAGACGAATTTCCCTATGGGCTTGCATCGCAAGACGAAAGCCCATAGGGAAATGCTGGCGGTCGGGAGCAAAGACTTTCGCCCACAGCCGGCCTTCAGAAGAGGACCTCTTCTGAAGGCCAGCGGGGGGCAAAAGTCTTGCCCCCCCCGCCTGCCTTCCCCCCGCCTGCCCGGGGCGATCTTAAAATGCTGGCGGCGGCAGCGAAGCGTTCGCTGCCGACCCCCAGCATTTTAAAATCTCCCCCTGTCCCGGGGAGATTTTAAAATGCTGGGGGTCGGGAGCGAAGCGTTAGCTGCCGACCCCCAGCATTTTAAAATCTCCCCGTGTCCCGGGAAGGTTTTAAAATGCTGGGGGTCGGCAGCCCGACCCCCAGCATTTTAAAATCTTCCCGGGACACGGGGAGATTTTAAAATGCTGGGGGTCGGCAGCGCTTCGCTCCCGACCCCCAGCATTTTAAAACGCTGTTCCGAAGGGGGGGGTGGGGACACCTGCCCCAGCCGCCCCACTTTGGAAAGCTGTTCCGAAGCGGGGAGGGGGGGCGGGGACATCTGCCCCAGCCGCCCCACTTCGGAAAGCTGTTCCGAAGCGGGGAGGGGGGGCGGGGACACCTGCCCCAGCCGCCCCACTTCGGAAAGCTGTTCCGAAGCGGGGAGGGGGGGCGGGGACATCTGCCCCAGCCGCCCCACTTCGGAAAGCTGTTCCAAAGCGGGGAGGGGGGGCGGGGACATCTGCCCCAGCCGCCCCACTTCGGAAAGCTGTTCCGAAGCGGGGCGGGGGGCGGGAACACCTTCTGAAGGCGGGCAGGGGGCGAAAGTCTTTGTCCCCCCTGCCTGCCTTCCCAGGGGCTTTTAAATCGCCCCGGACAGCGGAGAAGTCCTCCGCTGTCCGGGGCGATTTTAAAATGCCGCCCGCCAGCATTTTAAGATCGCCCCGGACAGCGGAGAAGTCCTCCGCTGTCCCAGGGTTTTTTAAAATGCTGGGGGTGGGAAGAAAAGCCCTTGTCCCCCCCCCCCAGCCTTCAGAAGAGGTCGGGGGACAGACTGTCCCCGGACCTGGTCTGAAGGCGGTTTCCCTAGGAACGCATTAATTGATTTTCAATGCATTCCTATGGGAAACCGTGCATCGCAAGACGAAAAAACCGCAAGACGAAGAGACTTGCGGAACGAATTAATTTCGTCTTGCGAGGCACCACTGTACATTATTTACACAATGAGTCCCGTCTGATTGGCTGATTCTGCTTCCCTCCTGGAGCCTGATTGGTCTTTTCCTGCAGGCCAATCAGTTGTTGCATCCTACCAGCCTAATAGGCTGATTAACTTCCTCCTGGAGCCTGATTGGTCTTTTCCTGCAAGCCAATCAGTTGTTGCATTCTAGGATCCTACTTGCCTATTGATCTAGGATACAAGCTTAGTACAGAACATGCACCTTTCAAAAATGCCTTCTCAAAGGGTTAATACAATAGTAAAGGATGGTTTTCAGACACACTTTCGGGGCAAGGCAGCCATGAAGTGAGCTCAAATTCCTCTGGAAAAACGGTTATATCCCTGTGGAGATGGCAGTGTTGAGTCAGCGGCTCATGTGCTTCTGGCTTGCACTCTTTATAAAGATTTGAGGAGTGAGGTTTTCACCCCTCTATTATTGTCTATGCTGGGCTGCTCAAACATTGGTACTGAGCCCTATTTTCTAGCAGATCAAGATAATCAGGTGACAGCAAAAACTGCAAAATCTTTAGCAGGGGCAATTAGAATAAGATCTGTTATTTGATTATGGGTGTAAACCTCCAAAATGTATTTTGTATAGTTACATTTTACCTCTATCTTCATTACATTTTATTCTGTTGCTATGGCTAGTGGCTGATGCAAATAAAGTTTCTTCCGATCTGTGCTCAAGTGCAGTGGGGGAAAAAATTCAATAGGAAATGTCTGCCTCCTCTCTCAGACATTGGGACTGGTGGGGTAGAAATCGGGGAGCATGAAAAGTAGGTGGAGTCAGAGCAAGTGAGAGGCGGAGCCAACACATTCTGGTTTTGCCTCCATCTGCCTCCTCCCTTCTGAGTTTGACAAGGGCAACACCAAGACTAAAGAGGAGGAGCTATGACAGTGACATAGCTGTCAACCGTCCCTTATTTGGCGGGAAAGTCCCTTATCCCAGTGCTGTGCCCCGCTGCTGTCCCTTATTGATGATGTCCCTTAAATTTCCTGGGTTTCAAAGGAAGCAGCTCCTCTCCCTCCCTGCTGGCCAGGGAGGAGGGAGGCTCCAACTGTGTTGCTTGGCTGCGTTGCTCACCCAATAAGGAGTCTAAGAACGACTGGGGGGTGGAACTTGCATGCCTTGTGCCGATCAAATCGGCCGCGTTGCCTGGGGACTCAGAAGTTGAACATACCTGTGCTGGGATAATCCCTTATTTTGGCTGCTGATCCCTTATTTTCGAGGCTGCTGGTCCCTTATTTTCAAATCTGTAAGTTGACAGCTATGGACAGTGAGTAAGGAAGCAGGCAGATGTGGGGCGGTGGACTGAACTGGGAGGGATAGTGCCCCATTTGCCCTAATAGGCTAGCCTCCACTGCACAGGCTCGTGTTTGTTGTTGGCTGTTAAACTTTCCAACAGGACAGTTTACACTGCAGGGAAACTTAGATTCCCTCAGCCATTTTGTCACATTTCACTATGCATGTCATTTATATTGTGAATGAATTTCCTCTCCCCTCTGGCGTTCCTCTGGGGTTCCATAAAACATGGGGGAATCCTGTAATTTTAGCAGCGTTTGTGCATGCTGGTCTGACGTTGCCTGTGAGCCCCGTTTGCCCCTCATCTCGGCTTCCAGACAGCCCAAAATGCAAAAAGAAAAGGACAAGTGTTGCTTGATTCCATCACAACTCTGTGGTCTTAATCACACAGCTGTGAGGGTTTTAAAGTCAGCCTAATTACACGATGCGGTCCTTGTAGCAATCTCTCGCTTTTTGCACGTTACTAGATTCTACAGGAAGCAGGCAAGTGTCTTCCCTCCCACTTAATTCTAAAATTTGCTGTGATTGCCATGGCAACGCTAGCTTATACACAAACTGATATGCAGATATCCACCCCCCTCCTGAAAGATTCCTTCTTACAACACACAGCTGACAATTCTGGGTGATGTTTACCAGAGAGTAAATGAATGAATTCCACTTAAAACGAGGAGAAAGAGGGGTCAGCCTAGACCTCTACCCTATTTGGCTGCTATCCCTATGGGAGAACCCATTAAACACTGGGTGGTATTGAAGGTTAGTCCTACTCAGAGTAGACCCAGTGAAGTTAATAAGCATGTCTAACTTAGGTTCATTAATTTCAGAGGGTCTGTTCTGAGTAGGGCCAAGGTCACATTCATACCATACATTTAAAGCACTATGGTACCACAGAGCTATAATTTTCAGAGTTGCTGAACAGTCAATTGCTCTTCACAGGGAGCTCTGGAAATTGCAGCTCTGTGAGGGGAAAATTGGGTCTCTGAACAACTCTCAGCACACTTAAGAAACTACAGCTCCCATAATCCTTTGGGGGAAGCCATGACTGTTTGAAGCGGTATGATACTGCTTTAAATATATGCCGTGAATGTGGCCTTAAGCGGGACTTAGTTCTGGGTAAGCCTGCCTAGAATTGCACTGTAAGATTTCTTGTTATGCTAAAAATGGCAATGTATTAAGTTTTGTATATATAATTCTCTTAATTTCTTTTTACGTTAAGCGGATAAATTATAATCTTTGTGATGGAGTTTTGTGCACTGCTAATCAGGTGCCTTATTGATCTAAGTCCTGTATTTGCTACGACAGTAAACTGCAACAGATGGACGCCGCAATCGTATGCTTACATACTTGGGAGAGAGCCCCATTAAACGCAGCAGGACTAATCTACCAACAAGAATGCACATGAATTGCACTTTTTGCCTTCACCACTAGGATATTGTAGTCCCATGTCCTCAGATTGTTGCAAATAGGCTTCCCACCAAAAGTCATCACATGCAGCATTCAACACAGCATTGTCCAAACAGCACCATTTTGCATTCTCTGTTCCAGAGGTAACAGTTAAAATGCAGCACAATTTCCAGCTGAAATATACTCAAAGTTGAGTGTGGATTTCATGCTCTTTATTCAGCTCATAGTACTGAGGAATGAAAGTTCCCCCCAAATATCTGCCTTATATACATTATTTACACAATAGGTCGCACGTGATTGGCTAATTCTGGGATTCTCCTGTAGGCCAATCAGGTTGCGGATTCACTTCCACCTGGAGCTGGATTGGGTGGCTCCTGTGGACCAATCGTACTGCTGCATTGTTCTAGGACCAATCAGACTGCTGCATTTTGGATCCTATTGTTCTAGGACCAATCAGACTGCTGCTTTTTGGATCCTATTCAACTCAGTACATAACACCAGCCAAGGATTCCTCATTCCTGGGCTTGTGAGCGTCATCGTTGTGATTACTATGGAACGGGCATGCCACCGGGCAAATGAGCACTAAAGAACTTTAAGTCACTGATCTCCGAGCAAACAAAATTGATCTATAAACACGGAAGAAGTCAGGGACAAGTTGAACGAGATCTATGCTCCCTCATAAATCCAGTGGTCTTGTGATAAGGTTCAAGAGCTGTCAACAGGGCACATGGTGTTCTCCTGGTGCCAGTAAAGACTCTGAGAGCTCCTCCGTTCATTTGGGGTGAGGTGGTGAGAGCGGTTGCCCTTTCCTCCCTTGAAAAGTACACAGAGTTGAAGGAGGAAGTTGGAACGGTGCCACTCTTTCCCACTTCCTCTTTCAGCTCTATGTGTTTTTCAAGGCTCAGGTTAACCCACCTGCACCTGACTCTTACCATGATCCCTTGGAAAAGCAAAGTGTGTGTACATGTCCTTCCTTCCTTCCTTCCTTCCTTCCTTCCTTCCTTCCTTCCTTCCTTCCTTCCCCTTCCTTCCTTCCTTCCTTCCTTCCTCCCTCCCTCCCTCCTCCCTCCCTCCTTCTTTTCTTTCTTTCTTTCTTTCTTTCTTTCTTTCTTTCTTTCTCTCTCTCGGAGGGAACCGATCCAGGGAGGGAGGAGGGGTGTGACCAGAAATGGTGGTGTTCACAACACACCTTCAAATAGCCAAATATACTCACCAAAGGTCAGGAACCCCTGTCACAGATGTTGGCTACCTTCAGATACTCTGTATAGCAAGGGAATATACAGTATTTTCCACATTTCCTTTTGCCAGATCCATCGCTATCTTGGGAAACCCAATACCGTTCCAAGGCAAACATTACTGGGAAGTGGACGTCAATGAAAATACGGAGTACCGTGTTGGTGTGGCTTTTGAAAATGTGTCTCGAGACAGCTATCTGGGCACAAGCCATGCCTCCTGGTGTATGAGACACACAGTCAAGTCTTCCAGGTACAAATGCTTCCAGGCCATATAGGTAAAAGGTATAGATAAAGGACCCATGGACGGTTAAGTCCAGTCAAAGGCGACTATGGGGTTGCAGCGCTCATCTCGCTTTCAGGCCGAGGGAGCCGGCGTTTGTCCACAGACAGCTTTCCAGGTCATGTGGCCAGCAGGATTAAACCGCTTCTGGCGCAATGGGACACTGTGACAAGTGTCAGAGCGCATAAAAACACCATTTACCTTCCTGCTGCAGTGGTACCTATTTATCTACTTGCTCTGGCGTGCTTTCAAACTGCTAGGTTGGCAGGAGCTGGGACAGAGCAACAGGGACTCACTCCGTTGCGGGGATTCGAACTGCAGACCTTCCGATCGGCAAGCCCAAGAGGCTCAGTGGTTTAGACCACAGCAATCATAGCGTTGGAAGGGACCCCATGGATCATCTAGTCCAGCCCCTTGCAATGCAGGAATATGCACCCATTACAGGGTTCAGACCCATGACCCTGGCACTTTCAGCACCGTGAACTTCTGGTGCAACTGCCCAGTTGTAACCGATCTTGCTTTCAATACCGTCTGCACCTGCAAAAGCTTAGAGCTGGATGTGCTGCTTAATTTCCAATATATGCATGTTCCCATACCTTCCTGCTGAAACTCTTGTCACTTTTTATATCATAAAAGTTCTGGTTAATTTTTTCTCTCCCTCCTGCACTTTTTAAAAAAAACCATAGAACATTTATAAAGCACTTGCTCAAACAAACAAACTAACAAACCAGGCAAAGGGCCTTCTTGGTGGTGGCGCCTGCCCTGTGGAACGCTCTCCCATCAGATGTCAAGGAAATAAACAACTATCTGATTTTTAGAAGACATCTGAAGGCAGCCCTGTTTTGGGAAGTTTTTAATGTATGATGTTTTGTCATGTTTTTAATATTCTGTTGGGAGCCACCCAAAGTGGCTGGGGAAACCCAGACAGATGGGCGGGGTATAAATAATAAATTATTATTATTATTATTATTATTATTATTATTATTATTATTATTTGCACTAACAGTGCATGGGTGCCCCACCAGGTGGCAAAAATGAAATAACAGTGGGGAAGTATAGCAAAACAGCTAATAGAACTGGAATGATGTCCAGTAAAAACCTACCACTAATGCACTATTGAGGGACGCGGGTGGCGCTGTGGGTAAAACCTCAGTGCCTAGGACTTGCCGATCGCAGGGTCGGCGGTTCGAATCCCCGCGGTGGGGTGGGCTCCCGTTGTTCGGTCCCAGCGCCTGCCAACCTAGCAGTTCGAAAGTACCCCCGGGTGCAAGTAGATAAATAGGGACCGCTTACCAGCGGGAAGGTAAACAGTGTTCCATGTGCTGCGCTGGCTCACCAGATGCAGCTTGTCACGCTGGCCACGTGACCCGGAAGTGTCTGCGGACAGCGCTGGCTCCCGGCCTATAGAGTGAGATGAGCGCACAACCCTAGAGTCTGGCAAGACTGGCCCATACGGGCAGGGGTACCTTTACCTTAATGCACTATTATCGCATCCATGACACTTTGCAGAACACTGTCCCTACCAAAAAACCAAAACTCAGTCTGCTCTAAGAGCTTCTAATTGCATGCATTTTCTCTCTCTCTTGCACAGACATACCTACGAGTTTCTGAACAATGGAATGACTCCAGAAATTACGATTACTGTCCCTCCCCGGAGGATTGGACTTCTGCTTGATTATGACAAAGGGAGCCTGTCGTTTTTTAACACGGATATTATGCAACACCTGTACACCTTCCACAACCACTTTCAGGACTTTGTGTGTCCTTGTTTTGCTCTGGAGGAGCCCGGCACACTCCAGATTCTGAATGGCGTTGCGATGCCCACCTACGCGATTTCGTGATTCGGGGGCAGCTGTTTGGCATGCGTGCAATGCCTGCCTCTTGCATAACTCTATTAAAACCTACAGCTTCTCAGTGTCACCACCATACTCTCTCCCTTAAAACACCACCTGCTCTATTCTTTTTAAAAATGCACACACATTTATATCCCACTTTTCTTTGAAAGCAAAGCAGTTTTCATAGGAAATGTTAAGCAAAGCTGCCACATCAGATTACACAGCTGCAAAACTCAAAAGGACAGAAAATAATAACTTGAAAGATATGTTAACTTTTACTTACATTATAAGCTTGTTATGCTGTGTATCTTTGGGTCATGATGAGCTCTCGGTGGTCCTTATTGCTGCAGCTTCCATGGAACATCCGCAAAGAGCAATTACGATTCCATGTAAGTGTCATTTGGATCTTTCTTTCTTTCTTTCTTTCTTTCTTTCTTTCTTTCTTTCTTTCTTTCTTTCTTTCTGCCTGCTTAGCCACCTCTGCACCAGTTTTCTAAATAAGCAGTTTGGGAGGCAAGTCAAAGCTTGTGATATTGCTTGTGAATATCGATAGTGCGAGGTGGGAGGCACTGAGCCACCTGCAGTAAAAACTGAAGAAATAAAATAAAACCCAGATGCTGCTGTTTGTACTCTTTAAGGATGCTCTTTCACAACTTAGGATCCAGTTGCATTCTGCAGGGGTGAGAAATCTGTGGCTCGCCAGAGGCTGTTGGACTCCAACTCCCATAAGCCCCAGGCAGCATAGCAACTGGTCAGAGATGATGGGATTTGGAGTACTGGCAACACCTGGAGGGCCACAGGTTGCCCAGCCTAGCATAATAGAGCATGTTCTTTAAGCACCCCAAAGCTCCTCTAAGGAGTATTTCTCCAAATAATCCTTCCTTTGTTTGAATTTTGATAGCCTCGCTCCACCAGCCTTGATGCGTGCCATGCTTTACAACATGTAAAGTTTATAAATTGCAGCACAGACTCTTTCTGTGGTGTGTGCAATGAAAACAATCCAGTTTCACTTGTTTGCTTGCCAGTGGATATCGATGGCTGGTGGGGATTTCCAGAAGTAGCTGAAGATGCTTATTTAATGGCTTTTGATGAATGAATGTTTCTTCATTGATCACAGGTGCGTGGTTAGGACACACCCCATAAGTAAAAGGGTAAAAGGTAAGGTAAAGGACCCCTGGACTATGGGGTTGTGGCACTCATCTCACTTTCAGGCCGAGGGGGCCAGCGTTTGTGCACAGGGGTGAGCTCCTTTTGTTCTGTCCCAGCTCCTGCCAACCTAGCAGTTCGAAAGCACACCAGTGCAAGTAGATAAATAGGTACCACTGTGGCGGGAAGGTAAATGGTGTTTCCTTGTGCTCTGGTTTCCGTCACGGTGTTCCGTTGCACCAGATGTAGTTTAATCATGCTGGCTACATGACCCGGAAAGCTATCTGTGGACAAACATCGGCTCCCTTGGCCTGAAAGCAAGAAGAGCGCCGCAACCCCCTTTGGCTGGACTTAACCGTCCAGGGGTCCTTTTTTTATTTTTTACCCATGATACCTAAGAAAAAGGCTTCAGGTCTTTTGACTAGAGTCTTGTACTTTGGTGCAATCTGAATTTTGCAAAGCCTACGCAAGCCAACCAAACAAACGATGACAAATGTGTGACATTTCAGGAATACGAAGCCCTTCGTTGCCTCAGAGTGATCCAATATTTTGCAGGATTTGTTATTTAGCTTGTTTTCCAGCTTGTATTTGTAATTTAAAGTGCCAAGGCTAAAATTCACCACTAGAGGGTAGTAGCGGAAGTGACATGAGAAGACTTCATCTTGTTGCTGTTGAACAAATTCAACACTAATAAAGCTGGCAGGCCTCAAAGAATGACCAAAGTGTTGTGTAATTCTTCCCTTCTCCCCCAGATATGCTAGCTGCAGTCTAAAGCACTTGGAGGACTCCAGGTTGATGAAGCTTGTTCTAAGATTGATTTAAGGCCAAACTTGATGTTCAGTAGGTAAAAAGGTAAAGGTACCCCTGCCCGTACAGGCCAGTCTTGACAGACTCTGGGGTTGTGCGCTCATCTCACTCAAGAGGCCGGGGGCCAGCGCTGTCCGCAGACACTTCCGGGTCACGTGGCCAGCGTGACAAGCTGCATCTGGCGAGCCAGCGCAGCACACGGAACGCCATTTACCTTCCCGCTGGTAAGCGGTCCCTATTTATCTACTTGCACCCAGGGGTGCTTTCGAACTGCTAGGTTGGCAGGCGCTGGGACCGAGCAGCGGGAGTGCACCCCGCCGCGGGGATTCGAACCGCCGACCTTTCGATCGGCAAGCCCTAGGCGCTGAGGCTTTTACCCACAGCGCCACCCGCGTCCCTGTTCAGTAGGTACATAGTTTAATTGATTTATGGTCCTCCAGATGTTGCTTTATTTAGGCATGGGGAGAGAGTCAATTAATTTCACGCTTCAAGGTGAACCTACATAATTTGCACTCTGCAAGACAATATGTGAACAGATGTACTTCAAATTCCACACACCTCCGAATTGTACAATGCAGGCCTCCAACCAAGCGTCGTGAACAAAAATCCATATAAAGTGCGCATAAAAACCCATCTATTCGTGAAAATAATGTACAGAAATGCATCATGTTAGGGAATGTTGCTTTGCAAAAATAAGCATATTAGGCAGAAATACAGTGGTACCTCGGGTTAAGTACTTAATTTGTTCCGGAGGTCTGTTCTTAACCTGAAACTGTTCTTAACCTGAAGCACCACTTTAGCTAATGGGGCCTCCTGCTGCTGCCGCACCGCCGGAGCATGATTTCTGTTCTCATTCTGAAGCAAAGTTCTTAACCTGAGGTAATATTTCTGGGTTAGCAGAATCTGTAACCTGAAGTGTATGTAACCTGAAGCGTATGTAACCCGAGGTACCACTGTATGTACATTGGAGGAAATCAGATGAACCTTCATGCTGTCTTAAAAAAAAAAAAAGTAAACTGATGTGGCCATGTGGAGAACTGAATTTAAGATTGGAAATGGGGAGAAATTGAAATTGATGGGTGCTCCCCTTCCTAGCTGTACTACAGCACCCATCATCCCTGACCATTGGCTATGCTGGTGGGAGCTGATGGAAGTTGGAGTCCCATGGCATATGGAGGGCCAGGGGTCCCACAGCATTGAGTTATTTATTTCACATGTCATAAGAAAGAAAGAAAGAAAGAAAGAAAGAAAGAAAGAAAGAAAGAAAGAAAGAAAGAACCCAGAGCGGCTTACACAACAGAACATTAAAATGCAGGAAAAACAGCAAATTAACTGAAATGCACCAATATAATAGTTTGAAGGACTAAAAAAGTTGAAGCAGTCAAATCAATCACCAGAAACCCATTTTACAATGACTCAGGGCAGGGGTTTCAATGCAGCTGCCCTCGTTCCTGTTGAGATACAATTGTCAACCACAATCTCCACTTTCCAGAAACAACTGGAGACCGTTTTCCTCAACGAGATCTTCCAGGTCTCTTCCTGAGGTGTTTGTTCTGTATTATTTTTAAACCCATCTTGGACTGTTATTTCTGGTACCGTTTTTAAACCTGTCTTTAGTTGTTTTCATGTATATTGCCCTGAGACAGACGTGGAAGGTGGTTCGTCAATTAAGAAAACAACAGGGTCCTCCTAAATCAAATGGTAGAGGAACAGGGTCGTTCAGGGGTTATAGGCCAAGTGATGCCCTCAATATGGTGGACTACAACTTCCATTAGCTCCAGCCAGCATGGCCAAAAGGGATGATGGGCGCTGTAGTCCAACAACATCAGGACAGCACCATGTTAGTACCCCTGTTCTAGGAGAGTTGGATCCTACTTAATTTGCCAAAAGGATCCTATTTTGGAAGGTCATAAGTGGGGCTTTAATCCTTTGTCCTCTACTATTGTCCTAATCCAGATACAGTGGTACCTCAGGTTAAGTACTTAATTCGTCCCGGAGGTCCGTTCTTAACCTGAAACTGTTCTTAACCTGAAGCACCACTTTAGCTAATGGGGCCTCCTGCTGCCGCCACGCCGCCGGAGCACGATTTCTGTTCTTATCCTGAAGCAAAGTTCTTAACCTGAAGCACTATTTTTGGGTTAGTGGAGTCTGTAACCTGAAGCGTATGTAACCCGAGGTACCACTGTATTTTTGGGAAGCATGTGTGCTATGTGCATTGCAATTTTGTTTCCATTGGTTCAAATGGGAACTTTTATTGCAATAGTAGGGTGTAGAAACCTTGAACTGGACTAAGATCCTTATTATTATTATTATTATTATTATTATTATTATTATTATTATTATTATTATTTTGGGGGGGGACGTCACTGCCCAGGCATATTTTTCCTTCTTCTGCATTTCCCTCCCCCCCTACTTCTACTGCAAAACCTGGGGTTCTCCACCAGATTTCATGGGCTGAACTTCAAGTGATTAGATGGCTGAACTTTTGCACCTTAATCCTGCCAGAACTTGAACTTTGTTCTTGGAAAACACCCCATCCCTCCCATGCAGGAAAAGGTGGCAGCTCTCCCGTTTCCATACATGGAAGTGTCCACCGCTTAAGAGAAACACCTTGGTGCGAGCCAATTCCACTAAGCCTCAAGCAATCCTTTGAGTATTCTCAGAAACAACCCTTCAGATGGGAAAAAGCTCTTGCAAGAAGCTGAGCTTAAATGCCTTCTTAGCTCATCTGCGACTTACAATCAACAGCACATGTGGTGCACGCTCTTATAGCACAGCAAACACCTACCAGATTTGACACTTATAACCTGTTGTCTGGGTTGGGGGTAATTTCTTTAGCCTTAAACCTGAACCTTAAAGCTGGGCAGTGTACGACTGTAATTTGTTGTTGTTGTTGTTTAGTTGTTTAGTCATTTAGTCATGTCCGACTCTTTGTGACCCCATGGACCAGAGCACGCCAGGCACTCGTGTCTTCCACTGCCTCCCACAGTTTGGTCAAACTCATGCTGGTAGCTTCGAGAACACTGTCCAACCATCTCATCCTCTGTCGTCCCCTTCTCCTTGTGCCCTCCATTTTTCCCAACATCAGGGTCTTTCCAGGGAGTCTTCTCTTCTCAAGAGGTGGCCAAAGTT